AATTCAGGAGAAAAATTTGGTGCTGTGCCCAAAAGGTGATAAAACTGTGCATGTACTTGACCCAGCAATATCCCTACTAGGGCTATATCCCAAAGGAATCAAACAAAAGAGAAAAGGACCTATATGTACAAAACCTTACAGCAATAATTGAAAATTGAGGGCATGCCAATCAGCTGAACAAGTTGTGGAACCTGATTGTGATGGAATACTATTGTACTATAAGAAATTATGAGCAGGATGGTTTCAAAGAAATCTGGGAAGATTTTATGAACTCATTTAAAGTGAAAGGAGCAGAACCAGAACATTGCACACAGTAACAGCAATACTGTAACAAAGACCAACTGTGAAAGACCTACTTAACTCTTATCAAGACTGATCTAGTACAATTCCAAAGGACCCACGATGAAAAATGCTATCTACCTCTAGAGAGAGAGAGAGCTAATGAACTCTGAGTACAGATTGAAGCATTTTTTTCTGCTTTTTAATTATTTTTGCAACGTGTCTAATATGGAAAATGTTTTGCATGCTTTGATTTGTATAATTGATATCATTTCTTGCCTTCTCAAGGGGGTGGGAGGTAGGAAGAACATTTAGAACTCAAAATTTAAAATAAATGAATGTTAAAAAATAAGTAAATGAATTCACATTTAAAAATAGGCATCTACTGCTCTCTCTCTCTCTTTTTTTGGTTAGGCAATGGGGTTAAGTGACTTGCCCAGGGTCACACAGCTAGTAAATGTTATGTGTCTGAGGCCAGATTTGAACTCAGGTCCTCCTGAATCCAGGGCTGGTGCTCTATCCACTGTGCCACCTAGCTGCCCCTTACTGCTCTCTTTCATAGATTGATATGCAACCAGTATGCTTTTGGGTCCATGCAGCAGGCATGTTCATGGTAGGTTGTTGCTACCATTCTGCTTCCGCCTCCAGTAACTATGAATCATATGCAAACATAGGAATTAGGATGTATGTGAGTCTGCCAGTCAGTTTGTGTTGACAAAATGTTTTAGTTAATAAGTCCTTGCTTAGATGACTTTTGAGATTTCTTCCAATTCTATAATAAATCTTTGAAAATTCTGATTTGGTTGACCATTTGCCTTTCTCTGGCTCCACAAATTTAGGAGCACAGCTTAATTTGGGGACATTGATATTTTGACCACAGAAGGTGCTTTGGACTAATGTGATTTGGGGGCAATGATATATTTCCTTTATCCTTTCCACAAGCACTTGGGCTCTGAGTTGTTGCTGGTTTGGACTCAAAAGAATGAGGCTATCTCTGTACCTCTACCTTCTATTCATGAATATGTAGTCAGTATGCTTTGGGTCTGGCCCAACAGAAATGTTTGCCATGAACAAGACATCTATGCCCTTAAGAGTTTCAACTCAACCCTATCTCAAGAAGGAATGGAATTTGCAAAGAGACAAGCTTATGCTCATGGTCAATCAACAAACATTATGTGCTAGGTACTATAGAAACTGACAGGAAAATCTTCCTATCAGTTGGCTCTATCTTGAAGTGGAATGGGCTGTTTCAAGGGGTAGTAGGTTCTGTTTCATTTGAAGTCTTTAAACAAGGACTGGATGACCACTTGTTAGATAAATGTCATAGAGAGGGTTCTTGTTCAGTCCCTGGAATGCCCTCTGAGATCTCTTTCCACTCTGAGGTTCTGTGATTCAATAAGATGCTGAGTGTCTCAATGGGACTCTTGAAGGCTTTGTGCTCTGGAAAACAAAACAAAACAAAATGACATCAAAAAACAATGTCATCTCTTGTATGAGATGCTGAGGTGCTCATGAGAAAATACCAAAATCAGCAAGGTCAGAAAGGAAAAGAAAAAAAACCCCATATCAGCCATTGGTGTGTAACCACATTTTCTGCTTTTATTTGGGTTTCAAGAGACAACACAGATAAAATACTTTGATCAAACACAAGTTTCTATTTGGTCAGAAGAACAGGTTGACGTATAAGTCTTTTTTTCTGGCTGCAGGAAATGAAGTAGTGAGGGAAAATACCCATGACCTCCTGAAAGACCTGATGTGTCTTGTATTGTGGCACACATAACTTGTAAATATACAGTGTTTGTACGTGGCATTGAAAAACAGAAGTGCACGTGCAAGATGGAAACCAAGTTATTTATCCCCCTCTTCCTTCTCCATGTACTATGTCTTCACTCATCATGCCCTTTGCTCTTAGTCTAAGTAGAATATATACTATTTGCCCTGCAGATGGACTATCGATGACTTTAGCAGGTTGAGACACTGCTGTAATTGTGGTTTTTTCTATCCTCCTAGACAAGATGGAATTCTTACTTTGATTTTCATTAAAACACTCCACTCTTATCATAGTGGATCTCCCAGGAAGGGGGTTAGCAGCAAGGGCATGTTCTGCATGAGAGCTGATATGAAGGGCAGACGACTGAGCAAAGAGATAATACAGGGACAAATGTGGATGTGGTTCTTACAATATCGAGGTTCAATACAGCTACCACACAGAAAGTGACACATTCAGAATATATTGTACAAGCTTATACAGCAACACATGTTGATTTGCAACACTGTACAGTTTAAATCTAAAGTGCACAGCCTCAATCTGAGGTGACGAGACAGGACTATCAATAGAATAAAAGGCGACACAATTACAGACACAATTTGTTTCTTTTTCTTGCTTTCTTCACATTCTTGTGACATTACACAAAGTCAGTACCGTTTCTACATTTCAGGTAAAATAAAAACGCACCGCACTTTTTTTCAAGTATTTTAAAGAAAGAAAGAAACGCAATATTGCTTCCGAAACAAAAACGGCCATGTTGATTCTAGTTAAAGCTAAAACCAAAACTTTCCAAGGGTTATAAAGAACAGTCTCACAAAGGTAGGACTTAGCAAAGGGAACCTGGGCTAACTCTCAGAGACTCCTGTTTTCCCTTTACCAGGGGAGTGTAGACAAACTTTAAAATATTTTAATTGAAAGTCTCTGGATCTACTTGGGTTTTTGCTCTTGCCCTTATTCTCTAGGTCATAGATAGATGGGGACTTAGCTGCATAGTTTTAGGGGAAGTATTCTTAAACATGGAGAAACTTTCCTTGGGGGTGGGTGGGCAGGGACCCTTTTGGTAAAAACTAATCTATAGGGGAAGTATTCTTAAACATGGAGAAACTCTTTCCTTGGGGATGGGTGGGCAGGTACCCTTTTGGTAAAAACTAATCTATAGGGGAAGTCTTCTTAAACATGGTGAAACTCTTTCCTTGGGGATGGGTGGGCAGGTACCCTTTTGGTAAAAACTATTCTATAGGGGAAGTATTCTTAAACATGGAGAAACTCTGTCCTTGGGGTTGGGTGGGCAGGGACCACTTTGGTAAAACTAATCTATAATTTCATGTTTAGGTGCAAAGATTTGAAACTCTGAATCCCATTAGCTCATTGGCATAGGAAATGGCATACTCTCTGAGTTAATAGATGACACCAGAAGGTATGGGCATCCCAGGCTACAAGGGGAAGAGCTCAGGACATTAACCTTCATTGTCTTCTTCAAAAGGGAGGATTTGTTAGAGCTCTGATCTAATAAAAATCACAATTAATTGCAGGTCCACTTCACAAAAACTCATAACACATAATTGTATGCTGAATCCTGAAGGTCAGTTCATAGAAAGGAGTAGGAATTTGTTAATACAGGAATGACATTCTTGTCCCCCTGGAGAATAAATACAAAAACATATGTAAAGAGTTATCTTCTAATGTCTCCAATGAATACATTGATAGGGGAAAAGGAGAGCTAGATCCAAAAGCCGTGTATGCTTAAGCATACATTTAAAAAATACATAATTAGGGGCAGCTAGGTGGTACAGTGAATAGAGCTCTGGCCTTGGAGTCAGGAGGACCTGAATTCAAATCCAGCCTCAGACACTTAACACTTACTAGCTGTGTGATCCTGGACAAGTCACTTAACCCCGATCGCCAAAGGAAAAATAAATAAATAAAAATACATAATTAAAGCAAGTTCTTGCATGAGATATAGGGGAAAGGATGCAAGAGTTAGCTATTTCACTCAAACAGGCAGGTGTATATATAGCTGCTATTATCAGGCAGAGAATCTCCCTCTTTTTCAGGTTTATTCTGATCAAAAGCAGTATTAGGTTATGTATTCATGAGTATTCTCTGCACCTGTAGTTTTGCTGTCCATAGAGATTCTGTGATCCTCAATAATTTCTCAATATGTGTGGAGGGAAGGAGAGCCTATTGGATGGCTTACAAATAAATAACCAGGGTCTGCCATGTGTCAGGGAACTATCTCTGTGCCCACTTCCTTACATGTTGTTGTTTCACAAGGACAAGTATATATATGTCCACTTACCTTAATACTCCCAATATAAGAGGGTGCCGGGAGAGACCCAGAGGAGTCAACTTCTAACTTGGGAGATCTGCTACTCTAAGTACTTTGGTCATTGTTTTGTATTCTTGGGGAGATAGTAACTGCATCAAGGATCTACTGAGGATGATGTCTCACTATGGGAATTTAGGAAAGTTTAAGTGTGCATGGGAGTTAAAGAATCATCCCTGTTATTTCAATTGCTCTTGCCAGATTCCCAATATTAGTGAATGTATCATTAAAGATAAGTGGAGATAATAAGTAAGCATATGTGAAGTAAGTGACTTCTTTTTGGTCACCTACTGGAGGTAATGTAATATATAGAAAGATCTTTTAATTTTTTTACATAGATCTCTTTTCTGCCAAGTGGGAGTTCAATTTTTTTGGCTTATCACATCCTGGGAGCATGCTTCAATCACTTCTGCTCAGTTCCTATCAGATTATATTTTCCATTTCCCTAATCTGAATGACCTAATTATTCAACACTGTTTGGGAAGATGCTTTGAGAATGAGCATCAGCTGTTCAGAGGGGAGGAAAGCACTGGAAGGCAGAAGAAATCAAATCATCCTCATAGAATCTCAGACTGAGGTTTGGTGAACTGAGGGAAGACCACGTGGAAAACTTAATTGGGAAGAGTACCCTGTTGTTGTCCTGTAATTGACCTGATCTAGCATTTTTAAGAGCTCTGATGCTCTTGGGAGGTTTTGAAATACTAAACCTTAGAGATGTGACAAGCTGTGAGACATGTAGAAATAAGTTGTCCCACATTTTAAGAATTTGTGGGTCTATGTTTCAAAATAAGAATTACTAAGTGTCTTATGTGCCTCCACTGGAAGAAAAAAGAATCTGTTGAGTTTTTCATTTCTGCCCCAGAAGTTTTTATAACCCATATAAAATAAAAATCTATACTTTACAAAATAGGATCTTCTTTATATATATATTTCCTTTTGTAAAATTATATGTATTTAAATACATTTGAAATGTTGCTATAGGTAAATTAGAAATTCTTTTCTAATACTATGAAAAAGGCAAGAGTTTTTATTTTCAACATACACTTTATATTTACTTTGTCTTTTTTTCCCTACTGCACCCCAAAGAACATCTTGTGACTCTTGGGGAGAAATTTGGCACCACTCAACCCTACTACTCTGAAATGAAAATACATACTAACTTTGCTCACTTTGCTGGAATTGGGGGAATCATTTTTAACAGTTTTCAGCTTTTCCTTATTAATTGTACTGCTGATTATGAAAGAGGTATTCATCCTCAAACTTAAGGAAGGACGTTTAAAAGGAGCAATGTTTCCTGGTTTTTTAAACTGTACTCTACGTTGACACCACAATATAGAAATAGATTCACTTTGGAACAAACTACAAATACATTCCCACAGTTTGTGACAACTTCACTGTCTAGCTAGAGAGCTGGGATAGCTTGATTGGCTGGATGATTATAAATCCTGTCCAAGGCGTTCTATTTCCTCAATCAGGAAGTCAATGTCTTGATGAGTTGCTGCTGGATTTGAGATGACCATGCGAAAGAAATTGACTTTATCTCCCAAGGGTTGGTAGCTGACCATTGTGGTTCCATACTCCATCATTCTGGCTTTAATCACAGGGGCAACCTGTGGAAGAGACCGAATGGTTGTGTTTTTCTTCTTGGACAAATGTGGGAAAAAAACATGAATCTTTTTATTTTTTGTTTTGTTTTGTTTTTAGGCAGCTGGGGTTAAGTGACTTGCTCAGGGTCACATAGTTAGTGTCATGTGTCTGAGGCCGGATTTGAACTCAGGTCCTCCTGACTTCAGGGCCGGTGCTCTATCCACTGCGCCACCTAGCTGCCCCCATCTTTTTATTTTTTTGAAACTATGTTTCCTTTAAAAAATTTAGTTCCTTATTTGGTTTCCCTTTAAGGAGTAAATTCTTAGTTTTCTTGAGATTAGATAAAGTTACTGGTTTAACAGTGCAATGTGATTAAGACCCCATGGGTATCATGGTATAGTGATGAGAGCATTAGAGCAAAGATTCTTTCATTTGAGATCTTGCTCTGCCAACTACTAGCCATGGGAAACAAATTATGAGACTTTTGTCACATCTCACACTAACAAGTTAGGTATAGTAGAGTTTTTTACCTTCTTGTGACAGATAACTGATGAGAGATAACATAAGCGATAGAGATGATGAGAGACAGAGAGCTAGTCTTGGTGTCAGGGTTCAAGTCCTATCTCTGATACATACAATTTGAACGATGGTGAACAAGTCACTTAACCTCTCAGGGCTCCTAGGTACCTCTCTAAAATGTGACATTTGTAGAACAGCTGCTGATTTGTATTGGAAGGAGTTTTCTGACCTGGGGTCACTCCACACCAATAACAAAACAAAACAAAACAAACAATCCATTCAACAGTCCAAGTTGTCCATTGGTAGCCAAGAGATCCTGAGATGAATCCCTGTTATGGGTCCCCGTGGAGTATTTGGACAATAGTTGCATAGGATGAAGGGAACAGACAGGTTATGATCTTCATCACTGGAAGAAGTACCCAAGACCACAGATTGTCAGAATATTGAAGTATTACCTTATTGGCTTTGTTTTTCAGAGGGTGCTAGTGGTTTCTTAGGGGAGGGTGTAAATTATTTATTATTATGCAAGAGAGTAGAATGTCTAACAGCTATTCTAACCCAATAAATATAAATACATTAGAAATAAGATTTGGAAAGCCAAATAGGAAGGACAGAAGACAAACAGACCAGTAGTAACTTCCAAGGGCGTTTTAAGTTTTCTGTGCCCCAACTCCATCATATTCCATTTTAAATCTTTTTTTTTTTTCTGTAATGTTTCAGTTTCTAAAAATTATAGTATTCTGGTGAAGTGGAGATAATTCAGAATAAGTATTTACTTTGTCCAACTGGGAGTAGGAATGTGAGGAAGCAGGTAGAGTAACATGGATACATCAAATATAAATCTAACAGAAGTGTAGAACAGATTTGGTTTCACAAAATGAGTTCTGGTCTAACGGCTAAATGTAAGTCTAAGCCTATAAAGCTGTTGTTATTATTGAGTCATTTTTCAGTCATGTCTGACTCTTTGTGAATCCATTTAGGGTTTTCTTGGCAGAGATACTAGAGTAGTTCACCATCTCCTTCTCTAGCTTATTTTACAGATGAGGAGACTGAGGCAAATAGGGTTAAGTGGTCATATAGCTAGTAAATATCTGAGGCCAGATTTGAATTCAGGAAGATGAAGTCTTCCTGATTACAAGCCCAATGCTCTATCTACCACGCCACCTAGCTGCCCATAGCCTATAGAATCAAGTCCCAATTCCTCAGTCTACTATTCAAGGCTCCACTCAAGTCTTACCTCCTTCATAAGGTTCTACATGGCAACATTAGCTAACATTTTCCCCTGACTTTAAAGAACTGGACTTGTAGTCTTTACCTTGGTTCTTTAGTCATTTTGTATATGTACATTTTATCTCTTTAATTAGATTTTTAAGCTTCTTAAAGGCAAGGATTGTCTTTTATATATCAGCATCCCCTTAGCCTAACACAATAAAGAACACATAGTAGGGACTTACTAGACACAAGACTATGCAGAATAAGCACAATAAAGAAATCTTTCTATATAATGGCATAAATTTAAATTCTAGATCCCTAAACAAAAGTTTCAAGGAGGGTCCCTGTCTTTGGCTCAGAAGAAGCGGTGAGGTATAATGGAAAAAGTACTAGATTTGATGTCAGAATACCTGGACTTTAGGTAAGTCATTTGACTTCTTGGGACTCAGTTTCCTCATCTGTAAAATGGTTATCATAATACTTGCACTATTTATTTCACCTGGTTCTGAGGAAGTTCATAAAATTAGAGGATATAAAAGAGTTTTATAACAAAAGCATAAAGTAGTATAAAAGTCAGCTTTGCTAATTGAGAAATGGAAAGGAAAGGTATCCCAGGTAAAATAGGACATTTGTATATGTGTGTATGAGTGTGTGTGTGTGTGTGTATGTGTGTGTGTATGTGTGTGTGTGTGAGAGAGAGAGAGAGAGAGAGAGAGAGAGAGAGAAGAGAGAGAGAGAGAGAGAGAGAGAGAGAGAGAGAGAGAGAGAGAGAGGGGGAGACAGAGAGACAGAGAGAGCGAGAGAGAGAGAGAGCTGCATGTTGGGAGGCTTCTTGGACAGTATGTTCGTAAATATTCCCACTATCAATGTATCTTTCAGTGATCCTAAAACTGAATCTTTGCTTGTATAGTTTCTGCGAGGTAATGTATGTTTTACTGATACACAGGAGAAAAACATCTAATACTGTTATGAATGATAGCACAAGAATGTCAGTCATCCTAGGGACTTCAGGTTTATCTGAGGCATAAGCCCAACAATTTATTTTGCCTTTCAGAAATAGAGAATGTGTTTGTTTTTCTCTCCTAGATATTTAGCTTCTATTAATGAAAATAAAAAATCAAAGTGATAATCGCCATAATCCTGTGATTTCTGAATCCTCATCCCTTTCCATAATAGCTGCCCTGCAGTTTCTATCCTTAAAATGTCTAACACATGAAATCTTTAGTTTAGATTATAAGACCAAATTGGACAAATACACTGGGTGTTCTTGGGCAAATCTAGTTTCCTTATCTATTAAAAGAGAAGGTTGAACTAGATTACTTATGAGACTTCTTCCTACTCTAAACATACTATGATTGATGGAATGGTAGAAAGAGCTTTGGATTTGGCATCAAAAGACCTGGGTCCAAATCCTGACTCTTCTATTTATTTTGTAACTGACCTTGGACTCTGAGAATTAGTTTCTTTATCTGTAAAATTAATAGGCTGCATTTCATGATTTCTAAGGTCGTTTCCTTCTTGGAATGCGCTAAAATTCTGTATGGACTTGTACCCATGCTCAACATTGTCCTCTAATGGTGAGCTTGCATATGGTATGCTCTTCCCACTGGGATGAATGCTGAATCTGAACTGAGATTTGAAACTGGAATTTATCTAGTTGGAGTACTAGGTTCAAGGCAGGGAGTGAACCTCAACAGAGGCAGACAAAAACTAAGTCCTGATGGAAAATACAGTGCTGTGGGATAGAATCACCTGGAAAGTGGAAGTGGAGGGAGCAAGTGAGGCTAAAGACTAGCAAGTGATTGTATGCACAACCAGAACCAGAAATCTCCAATTAGAAAAGGAACTCCAGTTTCTGAGACCAATTTGGGAACTATATGAATATGAAGAAACTTAAGAAACAAGAAAGGATCCCTAATTGTTCTTGAGTTTTAGCTGTTTGTTAGATTTAATGTCTCCAGATGGAGGGATGAATTTATATGAGATCCTTGTAGAACATCTAGACCTTTGCGGCTATTCAAAACACATAAGATACTGATCACAACGGACTTGGCATTAAGTCCCAACTTAATGCCTAAATGGGTAACCCAAGCAAACAGCATCAAATGGCAGAATTTTGTGAAATGTGATCACCTCTGTTTTCTTAGATTAGTGAAAATCAAAGGTCAAAACATTAATCTGTTATCAGTTCACATGCCAGACAGATTTTGGAATAAACAGTATCAAAGTCCACCTGCCTTTGAACCTGGCAAATCCACAGCTGTCTAAATAGATGTGTTGCTTCTGGAAGATGCTGTAAAAGACACAGTGCCAAATAAGTGGAATATCAGTGGCAACTGATTAAACACTAACAATAAGTGCAAAGGGAGAATAAGATTCTGGTGACGTGGATGCATGTATTGAGTTCTCATTCCCTTCTAGACATCAGCAGAATAAAGAAACCCACTGGGAAAAGGCTTCCCTCTCTTTCAAACTGAGAATTCACTGGAGATCTAATCAACAGGAGACCGGCTGGGGCTGTGGAAGTGGAGATGAAGGGCGTTAGGAGATCATTCTTTACAGCTGGTCCATTAGCTTTCTCCTGCTTGCTAAAATAAGGGCCAGTGAACAGTTCTTCTGCTTGAGTCAACATTTGCTTTTTCCAAAGAGGGCTTAATTAAAGTAGCAGGAATTAGGCAGGGGAGAAAGCATAGAAAATTTATTCCTACTGTGTATTAACAAATCATAAGATATTAATACACCTGTAGCTAGCTATAAAGTTTGAAAACAATTTTACTTTGTCTCTCTCTGTCTCTGTCTGTCTCTCTATCTCTGTCTCTTGTCTGTCTCTCTCTTTGTCTCTCTTTGATTTTCTCTCTGTCTCTCTCCCTCTCTGTCTCTTCATGCCCACCAAAAACTCCCTACAGCTAAACTCCTTCTACCAATGCAGATATAAAGACAGACAACTCCTTTCTTACAGGCTTAGAGAGTTGCTTGGGGCACTGAGGTGAAATGTCTTGCCCGTAGTCACACAGCCAGCCTGTGTATATGTCAAAAGCAGGATTTGAGCCATTTTTTTTTCTTATGTCGAGGTTGGACACTCTATCCACTATACCATTTATTTCTCTTAAAGTGCTATAAATGCTACTCATTTTAATAACAACAATAATAAAAGAAGATGAAGAAAACTAATCTTGAACTTTAAAGGCCACGTTCATTAATCAGATTTCCCTTTCCTCCTCTATTACCCAATATTTAAAAAGCATTTACTATAGTGCATACTTCCTAAAAGTACACATCCAATGTTGTCTTT